AATCAATCAACCTCTTCTTATTTCTTCTCTCTCGGGCTTTTCAGTGCCCTGCCATCAGCAGGCAGACAGTAGGTATTCTCAGGTGAACTCCAAACCCTACTCTAGGCTCTGTCGTGATGCCCTTTGTTTCTAACAACAGCTAATTGCCCGTACCTCAATAACAGAAAGCATCATATTACAAGCTTCTTTTGATATCAAACATTGAAGAGACTCAAAATGATTTTGCCTCTCATCCCCCTACATATATCTGCAAGCCATCTTTGTGAAAGATGATTACAGGCAATGCAAACATGCCCCGGGAAACACACGCCAATGTATGCGGCTTAGGAATCAATGCTCAAGCAGCTCCCTTGATGGAAAACCTGCTGCAAATAGGACACTTGCTCACTTCTGAGGGAGCATGTTTCTCTCAGTGAGAAGGATGACATAAAGTCTAACCCTCTCCCGGTATTCCCCAATGCTATTCCTGCTTGAGACCACCTCCAATGCAAACAAGTCTTATAACCAGGATGCAGGGAGCTTGCTGAAAGACCATAGGAGTCACACCTATTCATGAATTTGCCACATGGCTGTATTTCTGCACGTGAGTGATTTGTAGCTCTCAGTCCACAGAGCTATGATAACTTTTTAATAGGAAAAACAGGCCCTGGTGCTGTACCCAGCAGTTTTGTTATGCTCTAGGGAAGCTAAATGGAGGAGGAAATAAAAGAGAAAATTGACCATTTGTGACCACCAAGTATTAAAGAAGCAGGAAAAAGGCAGGCAAAATCCAAACTACTGCACACAGCAATAGCACCCCTGAAATTTCTGCTCATTTCTTGATAAGCAAGGCTCTTATGAGCTTGGGGTGCTTCAAACAGTAAAGTTTAAAGCTGAATTACAAATGAGCAAATAAAGGGGCAGCTTCCTCTTGGGTGGGAGGTTTTCCTCACACCAGCTACAGAGGGGCTGTATCTGTGCCACCCTACAACTCCCTTACCACAAGCAGAAGCCCTAGACCCAGCAACACGCTGAGAGTTTACCTGCCAGCCTCACGCTCTGCCATTGACACACAGCCTGCCTGGCAGAATTACAGCAAAACTGTACTGACCATTGAGTCTTTTTTCCCCCTCCCTTCCCTTCTTCCATACATTAACCACAGCCGCATTGCTGGCCTGGGCAGAGTTGTGCTGGCTGTCTCCAGGGAGTCGCTGACAAACCATCTTACTGGTGCACTGGAGACATAAAAGTCTTCTGCAAACCCGACCCTACCTTTTTGTAGCTACCCACTAAGGGATTTTGTTGCAAAGATCAAGTGATGTCAAGTACGAAAGTAACTGTTATTTAGTTTTAGCATTTGTAAACCTCGATACTCAGGAATTTAGATATTTATCAGCCCATTTACAGGAGAAGTATGAAGACCAACACCTGTAGCAACAGATGCTGATTCGTGTTCCTTGTCTTGCTGAATAACTTCGACACCTATTTTTCCAGGCAGAAGAACCTGAACAAAATCACTTTTATCACGATGGATCCTAAACTGCTGTTCAGTGACCGGTTAGTTTGCAAAACCCTCTTTAAGTGCTTCACAGCTGCTCCACTGACTCCATTGGGTTCTGCATGCAAACAGCACCTCAGAAAGGCCCCGTAAAGCCATGGTGCTCCTGTCTTGCATCCAAAGCTCAGCAGTGCTCTTTTCCTCAATGCATGACCAGAAGTATAAGGCGTATTTTCAGATCTTTCAAACAGGTTCATTATGGGCTTAATGCCAAGCCTATTGCAAACACCATAAAAAGACCTCAGCTGATTTTGGAGGTCTTCGGATCAGTTGTTCTAGGAAACAGATTTGTACGAAGGTAGGAGGAAGAAACAGTACTTACAAGAACTGTGGGATCAACACAACAAAAATGCTCCAACTGAAGCTGCAACACTGATTGCCAGTTTGCATGGCTGTGCTAAGCTTAGCAAAGGTAGGACTGGTCCCTACAATCTGAGGAGTTTAACTCCAGAGGTGCAGAAACTGATCAGCAAATGCTTTTGTTTATAGCGCGGTGACTTCCTATGGCTGTTTAAAAGCTGGGTTCTCATCTGAACCGGTTGACCCTATTCCTTCCCTCGTATCTGGATACAGCTACGTGTTGCTGAGGAGCAATTCATTCCCATCATTTTGGACCTCTGTTTTAAGGTGGAAAGAACTGGAGACACCTGTCAGCCTTCACTGGTGACAAACAGAGCTTGGATAATGACCAGAGACTAGATGCACAACTTGCAGAGGGCTAATATTAAGCAAGGGAATCCCACCGTGTGCCTTTTAGCTCACTCAGCGTTTATAGGCAAGTCAGCAGCCAGATTCAAAGGGATAGTCTTTGATGGGTGAACATAAAGGCGCTGGTCATCCTCTTGTCACCTCACCATTTTGCTGGTTGTTTTTGTACTTAGATTATTCTTGCTACATAGTGACCTGACAAACAAAGTCAGAAGTCCATGGTAATCTTGTTCAAAAAGTACATATATTTAATAATGATAACAAATACAATTTTTTTCCCCTGGAATTTCCACTACTGTATTTCAGTAAGTCCCTTCTATGGTCACTGCAGTTTGACTGTACATAGCTACTGTCTAAGCTGGATACATATGGTTATGTTTTAGCAGTGTAGTACTCAAATATTCTCTATAAATATAATAAAAGATTTAACATTTCTGTTTTCATTCTGATTCTTACACATATTTACTGGATTTTCACAAAAAATACATGTCTCTTTCCTGCCTCCCCCAACCTTTTACTGGGTTCCAAATAAACCTGAGTTTGTAATTCAAGTCAGTATCTGCCATCTGTTCAGGTACGCAAGTCCGACGCACACAAAAGATGGGATTTCAGTGGTCCCTGCTCACTAGCTTTGCAGTACAAACATCTTCTTAGCATGAAGAAAAAGAAAATGCTTTGATGTTTTTAAACAAAAGGAAGAGCTAAAATGGACCCCGGGGATGCACAGGTGCTCTGTACAAACAAAAGATGACATTTTTCAATCTGAAAATGAGTAACATTATTTCAGGGCTGTCTTTCTTATTATACTGGGATTTTTACGTATATTATTTTGCAGGTAGCTTAACTACCCCAGAGGCAGGTGTCCTCACTACACTGAAGAGTACAAGATGTGTATGGACTCCCCTGTACCGAACCGATGGGCGGCTTCAGTGCCAAGGTGAAGGTCCCATCTGCAGGGATGAGAAGGGCGCTCTGGGCATTTACGCTCTGCTCGTTTTGCCAGCAAGCATTCCAATATTAACAGTCCAGTCACCTGTTCTGTCAGTATTTGGATTAATGTCCAATTTTTTTCTTGCAGATTTTGGTGTAAGGCCTGAGCTATGTTGAGAATCTGGAGCATGCACTCAACTATGGGCTCTGCTGGGGACCTTCTCCCCTGCCTCTGCTGGCCCTCCTCCCCCTGTCCCTGTGTATCTCTCTCATGCAACTAGAAGGAAAGCTTCTCAAACAGGGGTAATTCTCAGCATTTGCACAGACACGAAACCAACGGGGCCACAAAATTGTTTGCAAAAATATCGATGAAAACAGGACTTAGATTCCTATCAATGGTCTCAATGCAAAATCCCTATCTTCCAACAACAACTCCAAGAAGATGACGATGCCTCTGCTGCCTGGGTTTTGAAATGACATTAAGTGGGTGGGCAGCAGTGCGGCTTATGCAGGCCAGGGCTGCCTGCTTGGGAACCAGACTGGAATAAGCTTTGTTGAGACATCCTGTACACACAAACATATACGCAAGCGCGGTACAGACGAAAGAAAAGAGTAGTCTTTGGCTAAACCTTCTGATTTATAGGAAATGGTTTGAAGACAAAAACAACCAAAAAAATGTTGCCAACCTCTCAGATGTATCATTTACTTAGAAAAACAAGACCGGTATGCAGAACATGGTGCCTTTTAAGAAAGTTAATCTTCATTGCTCATAACAATACCGAATTTTTGGTAACCACTGCATTACCAATCTTGCAGTATAAAACGGCATTGGTACAGATTCACGTGTCCTTTATTAGTCTTTTTAGTTCACTGCAGTCTCTCAGAAAAGCCTTCAGGTGTGTCCAATGCTGCCTTGCTGTAACAGGGACTAACAGTCCTGCACATAGGTGTGCCATGGAACTAGTATGGCTGCAAAAATCAGAGGTGACTGGATTGTTTAAACACAGCATGTTGCAATCTGGATTGCTGTTGAAGCATCTGCTTGCAGACCTACCATATGAAAAGAACAGGCATCTAGTGATCTAGTGTGGTGAATTTCCACATGATGAAATTTGTGTTAAATAGTCATGTTTCTTCTGAGTGACATCCTTAAATCATCATTTTCTCTAGGAAAAAGATGATTCCGCTATCAGCTACTTTATGTAATTAACAGTAAAATCTGCTTTGACTTCCAATACTCCCACTTTTTCTGAATGTTTAGATCACTTGTGTCTTTATTCAAGCTTCTACCAACTTCATCTTCTTGGCAGTGCTTGCTAGCAAGTTGACTTTGGACATAGTACCTTGAGTTTTTCCACTTGTCTAGCCATGTGAACAACGCCTGTAGCAGCACCATGTACTGTGTGGCACAGGCAGATGGAGCGTGGACAGTCTTACCACAGATCCTGGATGGGACCGGCATTCATGGCATCACGCAGGTTACCTTGATGAATCAAACCATTAATGTTTGCTGTTCTTCCAATCAACCTTACTACAGTACTAGATGAGAGCAGTGAAAATACATATTCATGTAGCTCTTTCGAGACATGTTTTACTGTACAGTTAGATGCCAAATGTTAATATTTAACAGCACAAGCAGAGCCCTTTTCTTCCAGCTTCAATATGTAGGACAATGCCTTCCTTAGAAGCAGACCTCTGATGTTCTATGTTGGACCACTGTGGTGTATTACGTAGTGACAGCAACATGCCTGTGGCTTTCCCTTCTTGTTAAAAGTAAAAAAGGTTAGGTCCCAGAGAACAGCAGTGCAAATCCCAGGATGTCAGACTAACACTGGCCGCTGACAGCATCTGCTGCATTGAAGGAAATCTGTGCGGGGCTCATCTGCTGCAGCTGAGGCATCCTCGCTTCCAGTGGCTTGTCGCTCGCCGACTGCATTGTCTGGTTCCTCTTCCGCAGCATCTGTCCGATCCCCATCATGGGGAATCTGCCTCTGCTTTTAACACAGTTGGGGCTACCCAAGGGGTTGTTGGAAACCAGCTGAGTAGGGGACACTGCTTCTTCCTTTGCCGGATACGCTTTTTCTTCATATGTGAAAGAGACTTGGGTGGGGTGGACGGGGGACGTACTCCCTGGCTGAAAAAGCGGAGACAGTGTCCTTTCACTTGAGCTTTTGTAAGGGAAATTCATTGGTGAGCCTAAAATCCTGTACTGATGAGAGGGGGAAACCTGGTCTATTTGGTCCTCTCTGTCAACCGACTCGAAGGAGTGCACAATATTCAGGATGAGAGGAGAGTCCTTTGCCCGGCCCCCGATTCGGGCCGGCTCCTGCTGCGGAGACTCCTGCCTCTTGAGGAGCCGAGGGGTTCTGGGGGGCGGCTGCTGGACTTCGAGGTACTCCAGGGAGCTGGAAGTGACGCAGCCCGTCTTGGTTGCCAGGGGTTCGTGGAAGGGGCTTACCGCACTGCTGGAGTCTGCAAAGCAATCAGAAAAGGAACCAGAAGAGCAGATTGTATTTAATAGCACTGCCTGCTCTGCCTTACGGCAGACAGCGTCCGACATCACCTTTAACAATTTTAGGAGAGTGTGACAAATGCACTAGCTAGAACAAATGGTCTTAGGGATATACTCAGAACCTAATTCCCTGACTCTCATTTGATACTTACGTTGTTTCATGGGTAATTTATCTGCCACTTTCCTCAAAGGCAAGAAGAGTGCTTAAACTGAGTAAGACAAGGACATGAAATGGAAAACCACAGATGTCTTCAGCTGTTTGTATTAATTATATCCTCTAAGGCCATGTCTGAGAGATCTCACATTTCTCCTTTCTTAGTGCAACTTTGCATGGTTTTAACTGGGTCTGTGTACTGTATTCACTGACATACCTAGAGACACAGGGGACAACAGTGAGTTAATCCCTAATGTCTTTACTTGCATTTTGGAACAAAATCTGTTCTTGGTTTCACACATGTAAATATGGAGTAGCTGTACTGGCCAGATTCAGGCCGTTACAGTTTGAACAGATTTGCTGCATCGACTTCAGTGAGAATCTTCTCCCAGCAAGGACTGAATATAAATGGAACAATCTTTGCAGGATTTGGCCCAGTAAAACAAAACAGCTCATGGAGAAGATCTGCTCGGTTTCTACAGGACGCTGGCACTCGTTTATGCCAAGCTTGTCACAAGAAAACATGCTTTGCTGCCTTTATGGAAAGCTATCCAAGGAGCCTGCTTTGCTAGGTTTCCCCTAACTGAAAGAATAGCGGACTGGCAGTTAATCACTGTCCATGAGTTCCCTCAGTCTCAAACCATCTAAAAGGGGTATAAAATAATTTAGGTCTGCCAGCCCTCAGGTCACAACCACAAATCTCACATGTATTTCTTTTGAAAGTGATGGTCTTGGCAGGGTTTGAGACCTGAATGGATGTACGGGATGAAATCACTCACATTGAGAGTTGTTTGGGAAAAGCAGACCAGGTTTAATCTGACTAGTTTCTTCCCAAAACTGGTCAAAATTATTTGACCACTTCATTTAGGAAGTGTCAAAACATGGATTCCATAAGCAGGGAAATGCTTTAGCTGAGATCTGAACGATTTTCACGTTTCAGTTCAAAAAAGCAGGGAGAAATCTAAAGAGGAAAAAAAATGAACTACGTTCACTTCCTCCTGTGCCTCCCTCCCAAAAGGAATGACAAATTCTGAACAAAATGAGCCTTTTTTAATGTTTTTTACATTTTCACAAAAAGTATGTCCCATTTCTGACCAGCTCCGCGGACTACTGCTACCTTGCAGCAGAGGTGCCTGTGCTGCCAGACAAATACCACTTTGACATTTTTTTAGGTATAAAACATCAAATGATAAATTATCAAGTCACAAGAAAGAGCAAAAAACACCATAAGCCACCACCCTAAATAACTCCCTGACACCACATTAAACATTCTACATCACCGTATTTCCCCCCACTGCTCTGTAATGACCTCCCCTCACTTAGTTCCTTCATTTAACAGCTGGCTACATCACCTTCCTGCTCCTCAATGTCTCCCATCCACATCTGCACTACCAACACCCCATTTTCCCCGCTGACTCCTCTTTCCCTCCACTCCTTTCCTCCACCTCCTTTTGCGAGCAGCTCTCAGCCATTCCTCCCAGGCTGCTTCCTACCCTGCGTGATTAATGCTCTGCTCTCCTCTAGCTGTCTCGTCTTTTCCCTTCTCTGTTAATGCTTTCCCCTCTCCTTTTGCTGCCTGAAATTTGCTGGGGTTAGCAGTCCCACCTGCATTTCCTCTTGGCTGCCTACTTCCCCTTCCTCCACCATCAGCTGCCGCGCACTGCTTCTCCCAGGGATGCCACCGTTACCGGCACTCTCCTCAGGGTCAGGGATTTCTTCCCGTGCTGCCCCTTAGTACCCCTTAGCAATACCGGTAGGAAGAAGCTTGTCTACCGGCTTTGGTTTGTCAGTGATCTGGGGTGGGTGTTGATGCTTTCAAAGCACCAGTGTGAAATGCAGATGATTTTGTGTAAGTATGTATAAATAGGGAAAGAAAGCTTTTTTTAAAACACTGTGGGAATTCTGTCAAATAAAAGAGAAGTAGAAGTGAGGATTCACGACTGCTGAACATCGTCATGGTTTCCTCAGGATGTTTCCTTCAATGTTTGGCTACGTTATCCAGTCCTCTTTCACATACCACCTCCAGAGCAGACAGTGAATGCAAGCACACGACTATTTACTAACAAACACACAACACACAAGACGCTCTCATTAATACTGCGCGTGCCCACGCATGCACGTGCGCACAGGGACACACCACTGGTATTTCTCCCACTGACCTTTCTCCGGACCTCCAGCCTTGGTGACTTTCCGGTCCTTCAGCAGAGCCTTGGTGTTCTGTATCTGTGAGATAAGACAGGAAGAAGGCTGTCTATATGAAACTGGACTTTTCTCAGTTTTCTTTGGGAGCTGACGGTGAAGAATCTCCCCTTTCTTTTCTTGTTCTTTGAGTTTTTTGTCCTTTAAGTTGTAAAACAAACAAGAACAATTTGGTTTACTTAAGGGAAATTTAAATGACCCCCAGACTTATAAGCACACCACTTACTGAAGCCAACTTAAAAACTATACATTTACAAGGAACTTATCCTGGCTACTCAAGATAATGAAATCTTTCATGTCTCATTTTCCTCTGATCTGTTTGACATGATTTCATGGCTCCCATCTGCTCTGACACTCACACAGTGTGAAAGTTGGTTTTGGAAAATTAAAGGAAAGCTTTCTCTTCAGAGGCCATTTGTCCTAGGACACCTCGTTGGAGCAAGTAGATGAAGGTTCCTGCTCCTTCATACCTGAAATTTGCCTCCCCATTTAAACACTGAAAAAAGGTCTTTGATTTCTCTTTATTGCACTTCCTCTGACATTTAAAAAGGTGAGCTGCAAAGCTTTAAAGACGTTTAAACTCTTTGAGTCATTTATCTTCTGTCCAAAACAGATCAGGAGGAATACGGCCCTTGCTTTTACAGCATCTCTGCAACTGCACAAGACATGGAGGGGGAGAAAATTACTGACCCAACCTTTCACTGAACCCTAACTCCTTTTCGTGACGGGGAAGGCAGCTGAAGGTGGGATTGCAAGCGCATACATCCTAAAAGATAGGTTTGATCTTCAGTGATGACAGAGGGAAAACAGAAGTTGGGAATGGGATCTGAAGAGGAATCCAATTTTCAAAGCACTGTTTTACAGTGAAAATTCATTTTATCTTTTTTCAACATGAATCACTAGATTCTGCAAGCTGCGTAACACTCTTTACCTGCCACTGATTACAGGGGGAGCTAAAACTCTTGTTTCACTTCTAAAAATCAGGCATCAGATTTGTGGCCCACATTTTGCCATTCCTCAAAGACTTCAAGAATCTCTCACCTTTCTGGAACAAATCTGTGTGGTCCGGTTTTAGATGTCAATCTCAAAAAAGTGGGGCTTTTGTTCTGGTTGCTTTGGGGTTGTTTCTTTAGCGGGGCTTCTATGTCACGTTCTTTGTGTGGTTGTAATTCTCATTTAAGCAACATGTTTCACCGAGTCTTATTGAAAAGTCACTGTAACTACAAGTCTTTTTTTAAAAATGCAGGGAAGTTCCTTCACCCAATTATATGCTGAGGCCTGTATTTTGTCTGATAATTATGCACTGCCAAAGGGCTGGCTCTCTTGATGATTTTCTGTCGAAAGTTCATTGACATGAAGTCTATTGAAACCTTCAAATGCAAAGTAACATGCATACATGCGAGAGAGGGAAAGAAAGATGCAGAAGACAACTTGGGTTCTGTTGGGCCACTACACAGCTCTGGAAACATATTAAGACACCTAAGAGGAAAATAACCGGATTGCACTTGTTATGATCATTCCCAGCTCAGACAGAGTTCAGCCCCCCACATAGAGGGTGTCTGGGCATTGCTGGACTCATTAACCTTCGAGTTTTCAGAAGTTACAGAGTCAGAAGGAAGAGCTTCAGTGAATCATGAATTGGGGTTTTTAGTTTTATTACAGAAGTGGTTAGGTGACTTGGGAGAGTGAGAACCAGAGACCTTCTGAGTTCCTCGTTGTCTTCACATCTGTCTCCCTTCACACATGTGTTTTTTGTCGCCAGCCTTCCCTCCATTCGTCCCTTACCCCCTCCAATTTCTTTCCCTTTAGCTAGCTAAAGCTGGCTAATCCTTCCACAGAAACAAACCAATGCATTATGGAGCCGTCATCACTTTGCTTGCATGATACCTCTTCTTCCACCTGACGTCTTTCCCCTTGCCTTTAGAGGCTGTAAACACCTCTGTCACCGAGCATTTATTCCTCCCTGCCTGTGCTGTGCTTGGAACAACACAATGTCTGATCAGTCCTAGGCACTATCTGGGCGACCACAGTCACTACTGATGACGATGAAGTAATAAAAACAGTAATAACAACAATAGCAATAATAATAATAACAACACTGTGTGAATAACACCCTGTGACAATAGAGTCAGTGGGAGCTGTACAGTTAGTTTTGAGCCTACCACACTATTTTTCCTCTCAGGGCTCTAAAACTCTGCTGCAACGTTCAGTAAAGACTGGGCTCTACTGAATATCTTTTTTTAAAGGTACTTGTGAGGATGAGACCAAGTGGTGACTGTATTAAGCCTAAAGGAGACTATCAAGATTGTTAGCGGCTTTCTGCTATTTTGGATAGGTGAAGAAAGAATTTGCATGTCAGTTGCTGCAGCATCTGTCAGAATGCAGGACGTTTCAATGCTGCAATATTTTTAGCCTAATGGTACAAGAGCCAAGCCGCAGCTCCTCACCCACCAGGTGCCCCTGACTTTGCCTTCACACTGCTATGTCTTCTAAGCAGCAGTAATACAGTCATACCATACAATTAAAAGCACTCACAAAAAGAAAATTCACATATCTGGTGTTAGCAATTGATTAGTTTACCCTGGGTGAATGTTGCAAATAGTCTTATAAGTATTTTTAAAACTTACTAACGTTATTTCTCTTAGGTGATGGTTGTGAGAGGGGAAACGACCAAAATCCTAAACTCCCAAGGTGACACAATACTATTATATTTTAAAAGGAAAGGAAGATTTCCTTCAGGGGAGTTATAAAAGTTTGCTCTTCACTGTACCATGCACAGCCATGTAATGGCATGCTGTCGCACAATGCAGGAGTTGTACCGGTATGTTATACTTGAATAGGTTTGGCATTACATCATCCTCTGCTATTTCCTGTCCTGACCTCGACCCGAAAATCTACCCTTAGTCCCAGCAACGGATTTGAAAGGAAGATAAAGGGTATTTGCCTTGGCCATGTCTGAAATGGTGATAGGACAATGACACAAGTTCTTAAAAGTTGCAAACTTCCTGAGTCTGAGCCCACCAGCTACCCTGTGGGAGACAGGTATCCCCAGTACTGGTCCCCTGGATTTGCTGGAGGGACGGCCGCTCATCACCTGAGGCCTCTCCAAGAAAAAGAGAGCTGGAGAGAGACAGACTGCTGCCTCCTTCCTCCCTGTGCTGCCCAGCTGCCCTGAGCACCAAAATGAAATCAGCCTGCAAAACAGCCTGGTTACTTAGCACCCTCAGCCCTGGCGCACTGATCCCACCACCCCAGGTTTGGAAACCTAATGGAGAAGAGGGGCTGGGCACGACCGCTGCCTGCGTGCCCTGCTGCCTGCCCCAGCAGGCAGCCCCTCGATCGAGGCAAAGTCCTTATTGCACATTGCTGGAGTGAGGTGGAAGAAATTCAGTCAGCTGCTGAAACCGAAGCTGACCAGCTCTCCTCTCCCTGCTATTCCCATGGCAACACACGGCTACGCTCTCTGTGCAGTGTCTGCCTCGGGACCAGTGCCTCCTAGTTCCCCTCTGGAAATGGGGGATGATAAGAAGACTCTATGTGCAGCTCATGAACATGCCTAAGATTATGAAATCTGTATCCCTGGGTCCAAGTGGTACCAACTGATCCCAGTGGCACAAGCTAGACGCTACCAGGGCTATGTTCCCATCCATATGAAGGCATTTTAGGAGAGATGTCTGCCAGTTATAAAGGGCAGTAGCATCCCAGGGTCTGTATTCACCCACGTGTGCTGCTGTAACTGTCCTGGTACAGTAAGTGTAACACAATCCCCTTGTGTAAATACAGTTAAAGCGATATAAACCATGCTTTATACTCAGCGATGCCCATGCAGAACAAGAATATACTGTATTATTGTTGCAGTGTCTGCACTGTGATTGCATCAAGGTAACTATTTCAAGAAAGAAATGACACCCCCCCATCCTCTAAATAGCTCCACTGGGACCAGCTCCGAGTGCAGGAGAGGCTTTGGAGGGAGCCTTTATCCCTACAAACCAAACTGGGGTCATACAGTGGCGCTACCGTTAGTTTTCAATTATCCTTACGGAAGTCAAACACCACTTCCCCTCTAGGGGCGCGGGGATTTCAGGACCACCACCAAACCAGACCATGCATTTCTCTCGGCTACGTGCAGGTACACGGGCAGACCTTGCTGCAGGCTCCCCTGCACAGGGTAGGTACACAGAAGCTGTAAGCTACTACCTGGATAGCAGGCAGAGCATGCCCATGGCTCTCTGTCACTGCACAGAGAAGTGACACCAGCAGCTGGAAGAACCTGGCCCAGAGAGCGTCAGGATGCACCATGCGACATCTGCAGTGTTCACCTCCAGGTACCTGCCTGTGTTTCCAGAGGAAGGTTGCCCTACAACAGCTTGAAATAAGCTGTCAAAGAGCATTTTGAAATATTATATTCATTGAGTCTACCCACTGCTGATACATTTTAAGTAAGGTGGGTTTTGATTTATGTAAGAAAAGAATTATAAGTACTTTGCCCTGCTATTTCCATCTGGCTTGCTGTTCAGCTTGTCTTGCAAGCAGTCTTTAAAATAAACAAAACCAGCCATGACACAAAACTGCCCTGCGATTAGACCATCAATCCAGCGCTGAAGAGTAGCTTTTGAAATAGGTAGACTCTTCAAGAATACTGCTCTTTGTCTTGGTAGGTAAGACTTGCACAGCTCATATTACTCTCGTAATTTTAGTGCTTGGCAAAGAATCAGCTGGGGAAGAAAAACTCCAGCTATGAGAAGACTCCTATTATCTCATATGTATTCTTTTAATATAGACTACCTTCTCTATTTGCAGGCAAAAAGACTGGAGACTGACAGAGCAAAAGGTAACCTGGTTAAATCTTTTCTCTGGCCAAGGGAAGTCCCTCATGGTGCAGTGGGCTAGTTCTGCATCACTTCTGCTAACCTGAGCAGAGTTTTGTGCTAATACAGTTTCATTGTTTCTGGTAGTCAAGCCAGTCTTGGCCCAGGACACCAGGAATGCCAGGTGACCAGGGATGATCACCCTGGCTGTCACTCAGCTCTCTGCCCTACATCACCAAGGTCTTGAGACTCAAGGCAACACAACTTCTTACAACACCAGCAACTTGCACCCCAGAATGAAACTACAGAGCCCCCTGAAGAAGTTTGCATTATTTTGGTAAACAGAGCATTTAGAACTTTTATTTTCTTCATAAAAGTCACCTTTACACTTCCACCCTAGGGGGTTGCTATTTGTTCCTTTGAAAAGAAATTGAAGGAATTATTTGTCCTGCACAGGCAAGATCACAGGCCTTTTTTTTCTCCACAGGTCCAGAAATCCATCACCTTAATCACATTCACCGGGGATCCTCAAATTCAGTCTGCTTTCAAAGTACCTTAATGAGCTTTAATGAGCTTTACCTCATAGGAGTCTTTATTTGCCTTGTATTTTTCTATCTGGTATAGTTGGTTCTTGTGGCAAATATTGTCCTGGCCTTCAGACTTCTGTGGAGAGAGAAGCACAGAAAAGTAAAGTATGTAAGATAATTAGAGAAAACTAACATTCAACTACTGCTTAATGGACCGTATCCACTCTTGGCATTCGGTGGAGGTGTGTTAACTTACAGAGATGGTGAATTTGGTCCATTACATTTTAAATATCATTGATGGCATCATCATTAAAACAAGCTTGCTAAAAGAACTGAGAAAAGAAAAAAACTAAGAAGCTGTTGTCAGATCGGAAGGCCGTTGGGGATAATTTCTCTAAGAAGCAAACACATTAAGAAGAAAACTCCATACAACCCACCCTCCTGTCCATGCAGTCACGTAGGACCCTACAGACCTTCAACTAGTTCAGACTCCTTGCCAGACCACAGGCAGCTGAGTGGAGAGGCCAAGGGAAGAGAGTGTGCAGCTTGTCTTTGTGCGCTGTGCCCATCCTAGCACTCCAGCAAGTACCACGCAAAACGTGGCCTGAGAGCTCCGCTCCTCGGGATGTACAAGGAAGGATGACATGTGGCAGCAGACTCCTGCCCTAGAGAAAGCTGCTGTGCAAACCCATCAGCAGTGTTTCTGACCCCCAAGCCATACTCAGGGGCCAGGAAGGGCAGCAGGAGATTAGGAGACTTTATATTCATGTTATTTCTCATGTAAAACTTTCAGCTAAGTTTTCACTTAAAAACTAAATAAAATCTTAATAGCTCTTAAGCTTCGTCTTGATTTCCTGAATCAAATTACATTGTGTTATTGATATTTCAACTGGCAGAATTATCTCAACATACAGACACAGTACACACAAGTAAGGCTCTTCATGGCAACAGTTTGCTTTCTATAGGGTAACTGCCTAGCCAGAAGGAATCTCCTATGGAAACAGGGACTTGTGAGACATAAAGCCTATCAGCAATGCTCTCTGCAACCTGGGGAATTCTTATCTGAAATAATGTTATTAGTTTGCAAGGAATACCTTCCCTTCATGGTTACTGTTACAAAATTATCAAAAAAACCCACCCTTGCGTAAAGCCTTGAGATCAAATGCCAGCAAGCTGGGAAACTTTCAGCACTTTTTTTATTCCCCTCACCCACTTGTCCAAAGAATTGGCATCAAGCAGTACTTACCCTAAGGCTTGCCAAGTAACGCTCCAGCTTCTTATTAAGTAGAAAGTAGATGGCAAGTGTGTGACTTGCCCTGTTTGAGAGCACAGTGTTGATGACATCGCTGTTCTTGTAGCCGAGCTTCTCGGTCATATGGAGCAGCACACTTTGGCTAAGGTCCTCAAGGTGAATCCTGTACAGAGAGAGAGGCAGAGCATGCTGTTCGTACCATCCTGCCAGCAGCAGAGTCTTGCCAGCCACAGGGGATGTGTCAGAGTGTAAAGAAAAGGCCTGAAAGGCTCAGTAACATTGGAGCGATTAGCTCTCTCCTCCCGTGAGCAGGCATGAAAAGGGCAGACTGTTTGGGAACCACAGGCACCGCAGGAAGCCATGATAGCAGAACGAACAGCAGTCTCCCCACCATGTCCTACCCTGATGTGAAATGGCACCGTGATGCTCAGGATGCCGCCATTTGTTACCCTACAGCTGACTAGTGAAGACCGTCAAGATCATCTGGCTGGTTTTGAAGGAAAAGAGGTAAAATCCAACTCAGGTAGCTACATTTGGCTTTCTGAAATGACCTTTCCTTGTAATCAAACACCACTGCGTTCAGCTTCGCTCCTTACCTGTTGCACAATATTCATGCACTAAGTAGCTAGAGCATTTCATGCCAAAGAAAGGGGATGTACAGGGAGAGTTATTACAGCAGCTCTCAAAATGGTAAAACTGCTGCTATACTCCTGTCAGTTAAAAGCACAATTACAATACATGTTTATGTATGTGCTCTTCTCTAAAGTCTGTAACAGACTCAGCCAAGGCGAGAAATGGGAGTACAGCAGCCTTGTGGAAATGGCAAAGCATCTTCTCAGTCTAAGTTAAAACCAGATTTTCCATAGAACTCTGCTCCTATTTAGACCTCTAAATGTGCTGGCCAGGTTCCCAGATGTACCTGTCAACTCCCATCCATCTCCAAAGAAATGCTGGGTTTCATTGCTTTCTAAAGAATATTCCTTGCTCCTAAGATCAAGCCTAATATCTGGCTAAGGCAACTTAGGGGAGTGTAGGTTGTGGGCTTTTTACAACCTGCCTTCCCCCTTCAAAAGCACCTTTCTCCACCTTTCCCACTCCTGCCCTGCTGTCCCCCTGTCCTGTGCATCTGTGATGCGAGGAATGCCCGGACAGCAGTCTGGGCCTGATGTAGAGGACTTAGACAAGATCTAAAACACAGTCTGGAAAATCTCAAATAATTCTTTTCCTTTATTTGGCGTGCTTACTAACATTTGTTCTGCAGCTAAGGAATGCTTGGGGTTGGGGTTTTTTTTAAGTTTTTTAAGTTCAAAAGCAAAACTTATCTTGGCCATTGCACGTTAAAGCATCTGGACAGCAAAAGAAACTCAAGCAATTGCTACTTGAAGCAAAATGGGAAATTTTTGCTTGCCTTCAGGGAATTTCATTAATAAAAGCAAGCTTATAAAAAGCCTGGGAGAATATTCTCCTGAAAATGCAGCTTCTGATGTTCTTCCACCTAATATCCATGCTCTCCCCTTTCCTACCATGTTCCCATCTTGGGAACGACAGGTGTTACCCCCCAAATGGTGGAAAAGCACTGCAAGAATGTAACACAGCCTTTTGCTTGTGTTGATTAAGAGGGGAAGTGATTCTTCACAAATTCAGTAGTGCATTTTTCTGAACTATTTCAACACATCTTACCCACATCTGCACACTAACAAAAACCTGGGAGACACTCTGTCGAAGCTGACTCTAGTGGTACTTTCTGAGGCAAGCTGAACAGGAGACAGGCCATGTCTAAATATTTCAAACTTTATAGAGTATTTTCTCTATAAGGCTCCAGTATGACAAAGTCTAGGTGGGTCAAGCTTGGGACATCAACTAATTAAACTAAAGAAATATTATCCAAAAAATGAAGTGAAAGAAAGAATCTGTATGGCTTTTATCCTTTACAGCTTCACATAAAGTCTATGTTCAGATAGAAGGAGTATCCACTTTGTTTTCAGATCAAATGATGAGAAAAGCAGTGCAATGAGAGAGAAAGAAAGAAAGAAACTGGGTTTTTTAATAGCAAAGCATTGCATTCCACATTGATGTCCCCTTTAAAAGTGCTTATAATAGGAAAGGATTATTATCATCACCATATTCACATATTTGCATGAGCAAACATATGCCCCTTCTATAGTTCGGCACTGCATTTTCTTCTGTTCTTCCATTTGATTTGCTTCCCTTTAGGAGGGAATGATTAATGGGCACTCCATAAATAGAGAGCATTGCACAGCTATTCTATCTAATAGAGGCCAGCCCCTTCTGTAAGTCACCTACCTAAGTGCACCAATGAGCAAACTCTAGAAGGGACACTTCCACCGCAACCTGACTAGAGCCTGACAACTGCAAGGAATTAAAAAATAGAGGCATGGAAATGTACCTATAAATGCAAAAGAATTGTGAAAGCACATTCAAGCCTATTTCTGTCTTTTTTCCTCTTTCCTGCAGATAAGACACACACAGCAAGAGAATTAAATTACCCATACAGCTCTCAGTTACACTTACATTCACTTAACAGATGCCACATTTAGTAGATTGATTACACTCATTACGACAGTGATTTCATTAGCTTAACGACTCATTCAGTTTACACTTGTTTTCCCTTTCTTTACCATACAATGTTCAAATGTACCATACTTCAGTACAGTCCAATGTACCATAGGAACTCAGATTTCCTTTTGTTGGACAGCATACTATGCAAATTAACTCAACTGCCCTTAAATTTGGGGCAATAATGTTGAGATAATGGGTCTGCCTGCTCTCATTCTTATTACTTGCAAAATAATTGTTCGTTCGTAGGGGCCATCTTTATATTCTGTCCACGTAGGTCTGGGGATTGCAGGCAGCTGGCCTCACATTTGCCCTCCCCTTTTCAGTGGATGGCTCTAGTGATACCTCCAGGCATCCAAGCTGCTCAACATCCATCCAACCATATTTTGAGAGCAGGAGACCTGTTATTCTCCTCAGGTCAAAGAACGGCATATTCACAGTGATTCTCCACGATGCAGTACTTTAAAGTTAAGACACTACCTCTGGAAGGGAAATGCTTGCTGCTAAATTAGGGCACCTCTGTTCCCTGTCAATGCAAAGAGAAAGGGAGGTGACTCAGGTAGGAGCCCAGACTGTGCAGGCTGTGACCCATAGGCCAGCCAACAGCAACGTCAGAGTCAAAGGTCTCCAAAAATTCCTAAAGGCCTTCCTGAGATTCAGGGCTCAAACTGATTTCCCGTACCCAGGTCTAAGCATGATCAAGCAGTGGCAGCGCTCACCACCTGCTTCAGCAGTAAGAGAGGGGTGCTGCAGGTGCCTCTCAGCCCCACGGGGGCTGGATCCACAGCTCTGAAACATACCCTGTTCACCTGGCTAGCAGTGGAGCAGAGGGGAAAACAGGTGGGAGGCACTCTTACCAGCAAAGCTGTGACCTGGGCTGAATGCTGAAGGCTGGCTGTATGTATGGCTTGAGCATGCCTATGGGACTGAGTCCTTCAGGGCACCGACACAAAAAGATGGCCTGGTTGGTGAACACCAAATCATTTTTGGGTGGAGGACAGTGGTTCAGACGTTCAGACAAAAGTAAGTTATCACGTCCCTAGGCATACGCTACATGTGGTATCTGGCAACTGAGTAAACGGTAGGGGGGGAGTTAGGATCTCCACTCTGGGACTCTCCTGTTAGCAAGTTAGGACAGAAATTTTGGGGCACTATCAAATTTTAAGCACCAAAATTAGGCTTTAAGTTGCTGTCTCTGCCTCAGTGTTACTTCAGATCTTGACCTGCAAGCTAGTTACTCCTCCAGTGAATCCTCTGCAGGTACTAGATAGCGTATGAGACACAGCTGGAGGGCTTTGATACAGGAAGGAGGTTTTATCTGATCAAATATAGATATATATTTCTAAGTGAGCTGCCTGAGGCTCCATTTACAGTCACTGCAGAGGAACTCGGATCTCCTGAGCACAAAGTCATCCTACTGCAGAATCAAAAAGAAGTCAGATTAATCATTCTGTGAAAAGTGCCCTTATTTCTCTCTATTGACTGTAAGGGGAGCCCAGACTGGCTGGCTCATGTGTCAGTTCTACACTGCAGATGTTTAAAGTCAAGCAAGATTATATCTAACCAAAGTGGACCACAAGTATCTGTTTTTCCCTAGATGGATGTTTGGCCATGAGATTTGTTCTCTGTTTGCATTTAGTCATGCATTTAGCACCATGCAGGTATTCAAGATCAACATCCAACAAAGCCAGATCATTTAACTCTGACCTTTCTCACCACAGTTTGCATATTTACTTAATCCACAGAACCTCATGTATGTATCACAAATAGGCATAGCCTCTACTGCAGAAGTAGCTTAGCTTTTACTGACAAACAAGAAGATCAGAACTACCTGTCACACATACCCACTCCAAGGTCTGGAGCCAATTAATCATATGATCTGCACCACAGACCACCCTGCAAATAATGTACTGTATGCCAGCTTCTAATTTAAGGTATTGTTTTTGACCACCTCAAGCAACACACATTCAGTGGCCAATCCTAACTACTTTTAGGGTGGAGTCACAAAAGCAACCCCAGAAAATGCACTGGGATGCTGTCACACAAATGGAACTGAAACACCAGAGCCGGTCACATTTTAACATACATAATATATACAGACCCTGGCAGGCTTTCTCCCCTCTTTTGCACAGTACCTGTTTGGATATGTGACATTAGGTGGTGCTCTTCCAGGGTAATTCTCATTAAGCCATCGATTTGCAAGTGCCTGCTGGATGTTTGGTCTCTTTGCAGGATCTGGCTCTAGTAGAGATCGTAGAAAGTTTATGGCCGCTGTGAAGAAATCAAGCAAAAAACCCAATAGCTATGTCATCTGCTTTATGACTTAACACAGTAGTTGAGTTACTACAGGTGTGTAGCCTGACCAAGAGTATACTAAAAAGTAATGTTTTCCTTATGGTATGCTCTAATGTCCTTGAGAAAAAGGAAAAACTGATAAGGCATTAGTAAGTAAAATAAACATGATTTATAATCACAATGATTTATAGAGTCATAAAGGAGAGAAGAAAAAGTGCCTTTTGTTTCAGAGCCTGTTTAAAGTTTCTGAGCAGGTTAGCCAAAATTTAATTTTTGTATGAGGACAAGAGGCCTGAGTAAGGTCAGAGGCAAATCACTCAATCTGTGTTTAAAATAGAAGGAGATGGACGGGGGGTGAGTGGAGAGGAGGGGAGGGATGCAGAGCTGGGAGGGAAGACATGGAGAATTGGGCTCCCTTTGACATTGTAAGGACAAATTCTCTCCTGGCTTCTATCCAACCCACAATCAGTTGCAGGAGGTTTTAGCCAAATTAAAAGAGTACAGTAAATTAACAGGCTTCATTCTGTTTTCAGATACTGAACCTTCAATTTTCAGTGACATTCAATCATCCTTCGGGATTTTCTTGCAAAAACTCTCAAAAGTACTTTTCTGATATTTTTAATTCATGTACTTCTTTTATGTTTAGGAGCAATGAAATCAAGTGATTTGCTTAAAGACTCACAAGAAGTGTCTGTCTGAGCTGAAAATAAACTCTGCTTTAACTAGGTCTGGTCTTTATTCCTCAAATTATCAAGGCTAGATTCCGTTTATCAGCTACAAGATAGTAAAGAGTTAACTATGTCCTCTACAATTCCCTGCATGAAAGATGAAGAAACCTAATTCTGGAAAAACCAAGATCAGAATGATTTTGTAGAGGAGACACAGTCAAGTGAGACGATGCTAGATGAGTCCTGAATGAAGTCAACAGCAAGCAAGAGGCAGAAGTGATGGCTGTGGCAGTTTTCTCCCAGTCAGATGGACAGGACCTTGGGGGCTTTTTTCCACCTTCTTCCACAGCAGATCTGCAGTTCCCCTCCTATGCTCTCCTGAGCATGTCGTGTCTACTCATCTCCTTACTAGTGCAGGTGCCCTGGGCAGTGGCAGCACAGGACCACTGTGGCACGGGACGTTGTCCTCTGGGATGTGCCTTCTGAGTAAGCTGCAGTACAGCCTTGCCAACACAGCTACTTCAGCTCAGCACAGGCAAACCAAAGCCCTTGAACTCTTGTGTTACAAAGTAGATTGAATGGGATGTGCTAATGCCTCAATGCTAGAAAACTGCGGAACTATGAGCCAGTCTTCCCATTCAGGTTTACAGGCATTTGATCTCACCGTCACAGCACGCTCACTCGGCACCATGCCATCCCCTACTCTAAAGCAGAGCAGCCACGACATGTCTTCTCCACCAGCAATACAGCGGAACCCTCATGAATCCCTGTTCCCACACGCAGTTTAAGGAGAATAATATGCCTGCTCATGAGGCCACAATGTCCTCATCTAAAAAAGGCATAAACGTTAACCTAGGCACAGCACCTCTGCCCTTCACTGGTTCTCCTCTGTGAGAATGCTGCCCTCCTCCGTGTTTGCCTGGCTGGCTTCCCGAGCATTTTAATCTCCCCAGGCCCACCCAAATCACCCCTCACCTGCAGTATGGGACAGGATGGCTGGTCTGATGCATCAGGGCAAGACAGTGGACGGGGAAGGGAGGGTTTCTCCTCAAATAAATCAGAGTTAGACCCAATAGGTGCCAGCTCCTAACAGCCTGGGTAACCTCGGCATTCAACATCCCGCAGAAATCAAGTATCAGCTGGAGAGGGCCCCGAGAGGCTACCCGTTTCAATGCCGGCCTACTATCAAGAAGCTTGTATGTGGAAGAGAGTTACCATTATGTATTTACTGGTTCAGCTGGGCATCAGCTGTGTTTTTTCTAAGCCCTTTCCTCACAAATCGCTGATTTATGGGAGATACTTTACTTAAATCTTTCCCAACATTTTTGTTATTTTCCTACCACAGCGATATTGCGGAAGCAGCAGGAAAAGCCTACATCCAAGTTCATAAGCCTGCTGGAAGCTGATGCTACAGCTGCTCTCCGCATGCCCCCAGTGCCCTCCCATCATGCCTCTCGGGCATGGAACCCCTTCATTATGGCAAACAACAAACCCCTTGTTCTTCCATTTCACCTTCTCTCTCTCCAGTACTTTCACCATCTCTGTGTTAGAAACCACATGTATCCCATGGGTTCAAAGCAAAATAAATAACCCCTCCCCAAACCAACACCCTCCCCCTCCATCACCACCACCTTCAGTCTGCAAATCAGCTAATGTCTCCTTAAAAATCTTACTTTTTTCCCCCCTTGGCAAAAGTCAGACTAATTAAATGAGGCTTGTGAAGCACCACAGAGATAAACAGATCCAGATCAGGAGAAACTAATTCTGGAGAGAACATCCCCCCTGGGAGGGTCCCTGGCCGGCCAGACCTGGGCAACATGGAGGAGATGAGTAACAGCACTTTGGCTGACTTCAGCTCTCAGGTGGTACAAGGAGGAGAGAAGCCTTTTCCAGTTAGCTGCACGGCTGTGGGACAGCAAAATTAGTCCCCCAGGGAGCAAACACAAAGCTGCCCAATCAATTTTTGGACCCACTGTGTATGAAGCGATTTTTCCTGCCGCACCAAGTAGGCTGGTGAACAAAGGGCACTGTGAAACACCCTGCTAGGGCCTCGTTACCTGAAGCCTCGTTTATGACGAGCTTGAGGACAGCACTAATCTGATTAGCCAGTGACCTGCACTTGGTGGAATTTTGTTCCCATGGTGTAATTTTGGGGCAAACTTTGCTCTTTTGACAAATGAGAGACCAGCATAATGAGAAACGACATTTCTCTCTTAACTTGCTTGAATGTACCGAGGTCAGTGATGACCAGAAACAGAGTGCGCTTCAGGTGGGGATTTCAAGACCTCTGCTGTCTTCATGTTCCTTGTCATGAATGAAACCAACTTAGTGTCTTGTTCACACTGTCAGGGTATGCCTGGTTATAGGTATACAGGTATTGCTTACAAAACTGGCCAGAGAAAATGCAATGAGGTCATTTCACAAGCCATGAGCGAGCTCCACCTAATAAAATCCTTCCTCCAAAGTACAGGCATGGATAGACGATGGCTTTTCTTCTCGTCTCTACTTCATTTCTCTGTTCCAGAAGGAAGACCATGAGCATACAGAAGCAGTAAATTGAGGAAAAAAGGAATGTGTGCAAGGTGAATACCAACTTCCTGAGCAACTGAACTCTGCTCACCTAAAATCAATAATCAGATAGCTGTGTTGTTTAAGAAGCTTAATAAAAAACAGTTTCCTAAATGAGAAAATCAAACACTAACTCCAAATTTTCCCTGTTGCTACACACTTGCTTTGGGTGCTGATGGTCACCCAACATTTTAACTAACACAAATAAAATATACTCTTGCTTAGTGATAAGACTGGCTACTTTTACGATGGGACTGTCTGTTCAGTAACTGTGAAATTCAATATTGAAAGACAACGTACTGAACAAGCAAAACAGACTCCTGCAAAAAATCTCTATGTGAATTTACAGAAAAAGAAAGCCTGATTAAAGAAAAAGATCCATAAACCTAAGAAGTTAACAAACACAACAATTCGCAGAGCAGAGGAGTTTCTACCTACTGACCCAAAGCCTAACCATGGCAAGAACAAATGTCATCTTAAATCACAGTTTGCCATGTCAGTGAACGCACAAGGCTGCTGACTTAGATCAAGAACCAATGCGTACCTTTGTTCACAGTGAGTAAAGGTTAACACGTTTAAATCTATTCCATTAATTTGCCATCACCTCTGAAAGTTCAAGCTGCTGTAGTTCTCACAAGACAAACAAAATACCATTTTCACTGGAGACCATACTGTCAGTGAGCTACAAATGCTACAGACACGCATTCGTCAGAAAATTTGATCTCCGCTATAAAATGGCAGGATGAATGAAACAGTAAAATGAAATCTGTCAAAAGTACTGTTATCTTTTTTGATACCAAGGTCTGGTCTTCTACAGGCCTTTTGTGGGTGATTCAGCATTTAATACATGAGTTGTCCCAGGGAAGTCAGTGAAATCTCCCATTTAAAGACAATTGAAAGAAAACAACGATTAGGGAAACAGTCCATTGGTTCAAAGACACTACACAGCCATTATATAACTGCTCTTTATTGGTAAAAGCCTCACTCTGGGAGGTAAGTTCGGTAAATTTTTTGCCAAACTTGGAAAATGCTTACTATGACGTGCAAGTCCCTGAATTCAAGAGTAACTTTGCAATTGATGCAGGATTTGGCATCTAGATCAGTACAGCACAAAGCAGTCAGTATAATCTTTCTTTTAATTTACTCAGTGGGGCTTTACAGCATGTGCTAGAACATTAAAATAGCCATTTTGTGCAACTGAATCCTAACAGGAAGTCTCCAGAATGGAAATACCAAACAGTATAATTGCGTCAAATAACAGCAAGACTTGCAGCATCCCAGCTCACTTGTAAACCTACCACTTTACAACATGCCAGCAGCATGAACTGCTGGCAGGGAAAGTGTACTTCGTACAGATGCTGAGTGAACAAGGAACAACATACTTTGCTTGATCTATGGATAACCTGTGTGAGAAAACCCTTAACCACCTACTTCTTCTGTATGCAGGTAAATTTGTACTTGGAGAATTCATCTTGTGACACAACTTCCAAGGGCTTTTTCTTATACCCCGTAACAATGGTTGCCATCCTTAGTGTACCGAGTGAAAATGTATGTGCTGTTATTCTTTTTCTATTTGCAATCTTTTAATTTTATTGAATGTCCCTTGTAAACAGGCTGCCAGATAAGGAGAACAGAAGCTCTCCATGAACAAGTTTAGCATACAAAAATAAAACCCAACTACAAAACAGAGTTTGTTCCAAATGCTGACAACGGTCTTGCTATAAGCTGAAAAATGATTCTGTTGCCTAGTGACATGGCTTTGAAGCAGGAATTAATATTTCTAATACTAATACATCAACAATTTTGCATTTTCTGAACACACAAAGGTTATCAAAGATCACTGTCCCAATATAACCTTCTGTGTGCATGTCATTATTCCATAATAAATGTGAGGAGGTCATTCAAGGTAGCTTATCAGTCAACCCTAGTCATAATGCCCAGGAATCTGTTATTCCAAAATAATGTGTTCATGCACCTATACCCTATGCTACAACCATCTGAACGTGCAAAACTGACCAACTACTCTATAAAAGCAATTTCACAGAATTTCACAGGTTTGTTCTTCTCTCATATTCAGCAGAACTTGACACTTCTCCAGCTTACATACAGAAGTCAAAGCAAAAGGAGTTATACTACAGCAACTGCTGGAGATCTTTTGGATGCTAAAATGAAAAAAAGAGTATTTTTCACAATTAGCATGCCATGTCGGTAGCATAACTCACAATCCAGAATTCCACATAATGGTTCTGACCAACTAGATCTGAACAGGTCCCAGCACGCCCCCTTGATTACCTGTAGAGAGCTGGGTGGGAAAAGGGTTCATTTCTTTGTCCACCATTTTCTGGTATAAAGCTCTCAAGCTGAACGGCTCCACAGTAAAAGGTAATGTTCCAGTCAACATTGCGTACATGTTCACCCCACTAAAAGAAAACAGAGAAAAAGAAACCAAAATGATCAGGAACAAGGAAAAACTTAGGCTTAGGTTTTAGTGACTGTACTTCATCTTTAATGTTTGACAGCTATTAAAAAAAACCCTCAAAAGCTCTCTCTTCCGTTGCATACAATGATTTGGGCAAGAATTCCCAGAGGTTTGCTCATGGAGGGTCACACAATGTGTAGGACACAAGCTGGGAGCTACAGAACTGAGCCCAGCTCTTAGGCAACTCCTCGGCTAAATGCCACGCCACAGTTAAGTTTGTCCTCAGGCTGCATAAACATGCTGCTTTTGGAGGCCTTGTCCTGGTGCTGCCCTGGGTGTGGAATGACTGCCTGCACCAACGGGGACATCGCAGGTCATGGTTCAGCACCCAAAGGTGACCTCCGTGGCCTCTGGTACAGCTCAAAAGTCAGGTGTGAACAATTACAAGTAAGAAAACTCCCTGCTTGTTTATGCCCAGCAAAGTCAGTGATGAAGAGTGGGTTGGGCATTCTTGTTCTTTTTCTTCTTAAAAAGGCTTTAAATTCAATTTGGGTGGAATTCCTCCCTTTTGGAAATTTGTTTCCCCAGTCTGCTGAATACATGTATGTGAACAGAAAGAAACTAAACCGGTGTGCTATCACGAACTGTGATAGCACCATTTGTTCAGCTATGAGGAAGGGTAGGAGTTAACCATATTTTCTTTTCTTTATTAAAAAAAAAAGAGCAGGACATTATTACTGGAGAAGTTTAAATGGTTTACAAGAACGACTGTGCTCTGATTGCCTGTGTTCCTCAGGGCTGGTACTCTCAACCTTGATGTGGACAGATGGCCCACTGCTGGAGTGAAAAATTCAGTAGCCATACAATGATTTACATATGGGTCTCCTCGGAGGGCAGACTGCAAATTAGGCTTCAGCAGGGGAAGTTCTAAACAGCCTTGAGGAGCAGCAGGGTACCCACCGTATCAAACCAAGAGATGAATTTGACCCAGGCCCTAGTCTCATGTATAAACTATGGCCAGTCTTTCTTAGCACTAGTAGTACTTACACTGTACTTCACATTTTCCAAGCACTCCAAATACTTCAACTTGGGAATTGTCATAATTCTGCTATTTCATTGACATTTATTCAGATGTTATTATCCCCACTTGGTAAGGGAAAATCTGTTGATACTAAAGCAAACTCAACTGACTTCAGCTAATTCCTCTCCAGGACCGATAAGGATAACCAACATCATGTCCATGGCCAACAGGAGGGTAGTGCGAGTTGCACCGTCTAAAACAGTACTGCAGACAAATTCATTTACTCCAAAACATCTTTCTGGCTTCCTCTACCTCTGGCACTGGGAACTTCTGTCTGTTCTTTTGCCTGAACAGTAATAAGCTCAGAAAGGCTCACAAGTTTTCTGGCCATTTTTATTCCCCCTTTAATGACCGTGCTTTCAAAGTGATCACCTGACTTGATTTCACTTTTCTTGTTGGACTTGACTGTGGATAGTGCACGGAGCCCATGTGAGTGCTTGAGGATCCTTAGGGAAAAAATAAAAAAGCTGTTGGTCCTCTTGTGCCAGAGCCATGTCTTCTACTAAGTCTGAACATCACTGATCAACAGCTGTGCTTTACTGCGATCTCGCCATGCTATATGTTCTAGTGACCTATATACAGGCATGTAAAGATCTATTTCGAAACAAGGTATCTGCGCAATTTAGTTCACAGAGCCATATTAATTAAACAGATTTTCTTGCTCAGAGTAGCCAAATACATGAATAACGTTTCTCATTTGAGCAATGGGTAACGATGACAGTAATAACTATTATAAACTAGAGAAGTAACTCACATGGACCAAACGTCTATTTTGGGCCCATATTTTTTCCTTGCCAGAAGTTCAGGGGCTGCATATGCTGGGCTCCCACACTGGGTGCTGAATGGATCAGAATAACCCAAGATGCCTGCACAGTTGCTCAATCCAAAGTCTGCGAAAGGCACAGAGACAGAGTTATGAAAGAGAGAGATACAGTAAAACCACGCTAGAACACAAGGGAAAAAAAGCACATTTTTTTCCAAAATCTATGCAATGAACTGCCTAAGAAAAAAATCATTTACATGCAAAAATTTTATATAATTTGTTTCTCTGAGGTGCTAAATAACCAGAGACTTCCACAAACAATAAAAAAGTCTTAGAACATGCACAATTATCAATTTCATACACAAAGCAACTACATTTCACTGGGAACTGGGTGGCAACAACTGGAGTTGAGCATGTCCCAGGCACTACGTGATGTGCATGGGGCAGAAAGCCACCTCAGGCTGTCATGGATTCCATACTGCTCCAGTATGTTATATAGAGGCTAAGTTTAAGTGGGACTTCTTCAACATTTTCCTCTAAATCGTGTAAATGAGCCATCAGATTCAAGGCAGGAGGGGGCGGGGGTGTTGTTTTCTGGGACTACTGTGGCGATGCACAAATGCACAGGGTTGCAGAGTCAGCATTTCAGCTCTGAAATAACCCAGGGAGATCTTGGAGCAAGAAGGGGAATGTGTTGATTTGGCTCTCCCCTCCTCAGCTTCTGCCTTGAATTATTGTATTTGTAGCCCCTGGGTGTATCTGACACTCTTTTGCTGGCAATAATAAGGGACTGGCAAAGGCTGGCACCACGAACTGATCGGAGACAAGAGGCAGCCTCTCCGCACCAAAGGAGTCTGCAGTTTCCCAAGTGCTCTCAGGCAACCCAAGCCCAGGCTGCCGCCGAGAAGGGTGTTCCCGCAATCTCTCCCTTGTCTGCTCCAGTGCTGGTATGGCTGCAGGCTGAGCTGGGTTTAAGAAAGGGTCTTAAAAATTAAACCACTAAGCAAGGAAAGAAATGCAGACAGAGTCACACCAGCAGCAGAAGCGGCTGAGGGCAACATGCAAGCCCACCCTGTCTAGTGGTAGCCCATGCCTGGCTTGGGAGAAAGCAATTACGAAACTACAGCCTGGCAGACAAGATGAGACGGTGAGGAGAGGTTGCAAAGGGTCTTGAAAGTGAAGTCAAACAACTTGATGTGATAAAGGGAAGAAGCAAGACAAGCTTGCAAGGAGGATGATGACATGGGCAAAGCTGACAGGCTGGGAGAACAGTCTATGCTGCAGGGCAACATAACCAGGAGCAGCGGATCTAGAGAGGTCACAATCAAAGATGCTTGCATTTATTAATAACTTGTTATTGATGACAGCTGCAACAACAAAAATACTGCTGTTAAGAACACTGACATCTCTTTTGTTCCTTTTTTTTTTATCTAGTCTTCTTAAAAATTCCCAGAACGCATGCATGTTTAAAAGGAAAACTGTCATACATAAACGAGGCAGTCAGGAGAAGCAGACTGCTGAATCCTCTTCCTATAGACTTGTGTCTTGCATCCATGTGTCTTGTAAAACAGCGTATTTCTGGGTGTGCTACCCACCTGCCTGGGTGAGCTAAAAGCATCACACCTTGCAGGCCAAATATAGCAGGCAACTGTTGAGCCCATGCAATATTCTCTCTCCACAGCCATTAATTTGGGTCTCTCTCCCTTATCTGCATAACACTTGAAGTAATGGCCTGTCCTTTAGCTTTTACCCCACCTTAAATTTCGGTGAAATCAGACACGAGTTCCTCAAAGTATTAGAAGCATCCTGACAGGGCAGTCACATAAGCCTGGTTCCCTTACAAAACCAGGAAAAAAATATAATGCTTACAAAAAAATACAATTATAAAGATGACTATGTGAGCCAGAGTGCCCAAATGACTGCACGGGGCTTTCCACTCAACTGGCTGCATCTCTGAGAGCGAGACAAGCACAAGAGAGACAAGAAGCACCGTATTCAACATGCAAAGAAGCTGAAAGGGGGTTTGCTGGAGAACATTGTCAAAACTGAATGAGGATCAAGACAATTTCCTTGCCTCTGATGGAAAACAATTGTCTCTGGACACTGCTTAATCATCTCTGCTAGATAGGTATTATCCCTGGGGCTTATACAAATAATTCTGAGGATCCGTTTACTTAATTAATGTATTTATTAGCTATGCCCCGAGATGAGTTATGTCAATGGCAAGATACTTTTTAAAACTCCTAGAAATAATATCTCCACACAGTATTATTCATGGTCTTTACCCTACTGTGTCATACCACCTCAAAATTACTTGACTGTAATATAACGCTTTACAAACAAAATATATTAGGGTTACATTCTGTGATAGTGTAAATCAGTATCCTTTTATCATTATCAATGGAGGTATATTCTAGTGGAGGTTTTAATTATCTTATTTGCTTAAACTATAAACATCTTATTCATGTTTTTCAGCTCATTCATTTAATCTAGGCAGGTATAGTCTTTTTTTTTCTAGTGCCTGCTGAAATGCAGAATGTGTGCAAACACATGCATATTGGGGACAGGGATTTTATCGCAAAAGAAATGGGAATATTGTTATTAACGTTGTGGCAGCACATTGTGATCGCAGTGTCATTTTTATTAAGGATGCACTGCTGATCTTGATAAGAACGGCATTACCACCAGCACTGATAATTTCACTGCCATTCCTGCCGCTGTCTTGGGCTTCCTTTCAATAAGCTGAGCTAATTACAGAATTCAGATCAAAGGCCACACTTGTTTTTCCAAAGTAAATATTATGACATGGAAACTCCACCACCCCCACTGTTCATACTATCGAGGTATCGCATTACGCTACTACTCTTTAACGCCTCCAGGAAATCAACATTAAGCTATGGATATATGGCTATCTCCAAAGCTGTGACAGTTGGAAATAACAGAAGCCTTAGCACAAAGCTCATGGACAAGTTTGACCAGCAGAGCTCCACAGAGCTCGGCAGAGCTACGTTATCGGCAGGATCCTTTGGGTGCCACAGGTCCTCGAGCAGGATGCCAAGGACTTCGCATGGCCTGTGAGTGGCTTTTCAAAGCATCTTTATCAGACACCTACGACCGTGGGCTGGTAGGTGAAGAGAAGTGAATTATTTCCAGCATTTCCAATCCTGATGTTCTTAATATTTAACAGACAGCTACGAAAAAGTCCACTTAACACAGCAAAGGGAATTTTTCTAATAATACTATCTAAGAACATATTATAAACCACCTTAGCACATACCTAAAAAGAGTAACAAAAGCAAGGTGTCATTAAGCAGCTGGGTGAAGAAAGGGGCTCAAGGGATTCAGTTCTCGCTGAAATGCATGAACAAGCAGGGATTTGCAATGCCACTTCCTGGTATGTTTTTAATCTTCATTTCACCTTTTCTTTTTCCTTTATGGTGGGTTTTCTTCATTTCACAGTTATATTACAAGAGCAACATTTTTTATTAGGTACTAGTGTGTTTGCTGCTGTACAAGACACAGAGACCAAACTCCCACCCCAAAGCAGTTAACGTGAGCTGGTTTTGTAGCTTAGAGTCTCATCTCCTAAGCGTCGAAAGCAGCATGTAATTCCTCAAAACATGCTCTTTGCTATTGAAGAGCCTTCTTGGTCATGACTATGTAATGATGCAACCGATCCATCACATTTCTAGAAAGACAGGCTACGTAAAATATTGTACTAAGCACTGAATGAGCTGAGTGAAGGAACAGGCAGGGAGGAGGAAGAGGGGTAAATTATTTGGTCTATGCCACCAGCCACAGACGGGTGCTGGAAAATTTTCCTTGTCCTGTGAAACCGTGGTGGCAACGGAAAGCTGCGCAGCAGCTGAAGCACTACTTCTGCTACCACCTGGAAAAGAGGTGTTGGTGAGGAGAGGTTGCCCAGGGACCTGAGGCCGGTTTCTGCAGCCCCCGCTCCAGCTTTCCCCGCAAGCGCAGCAGACAGAGCATGAAGAACAGAGGCACTGCTTCTTCAGGGTGAAAAACAGAGATCACCAGCATCACTAGCGAGATATGGCATGAGCTGACTGTGATATTAAATCTGTTTTTACTTACAGCAAAATTATTACTAATAAAGCAACCTTTATTTTTCTACAATATACCCAGTTGGACAGTGGGATTTAATTGCTTTGTTTTAAAATACATACTGTGCACAATCCGCTTTGCTTAAAACATCAGGCTGCAGACCTGAGGACAATTTATTTCAACACTAGTAAGGCTATGGAAGATCGAACTGTCTCTTTTCTCTGTTCTTCCCACACCACCCACTGCGAGGAGACCCTTCCATGCAACCGAAGCAAATGAAACTGCAGGAACAGTTCTGAAGTAATTTTTTGGCATGTGAGTTTTAATTGTACACATATCATCCGATTAGGTCTGGGTTTGGATGTCAAGTTCACATACTGTTGTGTAATCAAACACCCAATAACGGGGAAGTTATAGAAATTCTTTAAATCTATCAGATGTTCATATAGCACTGTTGCACACCATCTGGTCTCACTTATCCGCTAAATCAAGATAATGGGTGGTATCCATCATTACTGATGAATGATTCATGGTAACATATCGGTATCCTCTTGACCCATAGCTGAGGTAATGCAGAGTTCTCTTTTGCTGTTATTTTCCCAGAGCTGGTTGATTCGCTACAGAGTGATGACTAAAAGTCAGGGTAATATTTCCAAAGACTGAATTCCCTAAGTAAATTTTGAATATTTCAGATTTCATTAAGCATCATCCTCTTGTTTGTTTGGAGATGCCTGTGCTTTATATGTTACAGTGAGTGTCCATTTGACCTGAATGTTAAGTGGTTTTCATCACTTTTCAGATCATGAAACCTTTTGAAGAAAGAAAGTCAGTGGAGTTTTTAAGTCTGCAACCACAGACACTGCTGTTGGCAAAAGTGTAGGCATGGAGATAAATATAAACAGATGTTTGGGGGTTTTTTTTGTGAAGGGAATATTTTCTTTTCAATGCCCACGTTAACATTAATGGGAGTTACGCAAAGGCAGTGAGAGACTATACCCACCGATGATTAATCTAAAATGTCTCCACAACTTGAATGAATCAAGCGCTGTGTACAACTGATACCCAAATACAATCAAGACTATCGCTGATCTTTTTTATTTTTTAAGAGCCCTCTAAACCAATTTTGCATTGGGTGCTGGAAGCAAATTTAACGAATATAAATATAGGACCAAATTTTGCCAGCTGCTAAAAATGTGTGCAACTCCCACTGACTTCAGTGGAAGCATATGCATATGGGGGCAGAATCCAACCCTTAGAAAATATGAAATTATCAAGATAATAAAATAAATTACTTCTGTGGTGTCAATTCTTTAATTCTTTACAAAGTTCCCGATTTGAATATGAAAGCTGTTGGTTAAAAGATGTAGGATTATTCCCATACCCAGTTAAAGCTGAATTATTTGGAACATTTTTTTCACAAGATGCTCTCAGGAACAGCTTGATTGCTATCTATACTCTCTCAGCTCCTCTCTGCAGCAACATTAGCAGTTGTCACATGGAGGATTATGAAGTCTCAAAAACTCTCTTTATAAAACTACCAATTTTAATTACTGGAATTGCCAAACTGGTTTCATACCGATAAGCTTGATATTGTTGTCTTCATCTAGCAACAGATTTTCTATCTTCAAGTCTCTGAAAGAAATAAAATATTTTGAGTGAGCCTCCAAAATAATGAAGCAGCTTCCCATCACTCTCATCAGTGTATTTACAAGTTTCATATATAAAACCAACAAATATAATGAAAGCAGTGCACACAGTTCCACATTCAAAGCAGAAAGCCCCATGCATTGTCTCCTCTACAAAATTACCAATGCTTTCACACAGAGTTTCACACCTATTCTTCAGGCACAAAATGACTTTATAAACATTTGTCAGTACATCCTGTAATTAATCAGGTTCTTCAGATTTCTCACATACTTAAAAGTTTGCAGAAATCTTATACACTGGAAACATTTCAGATATATGGTTTTGGAATTAGAGGTCACTTTCTCATTACTCTTCACAACCAAAGGCTCTTCACTGGCCACTGCTGAAGGATAAACCATCTTCTGCAGAGATCTGATGAGTCAAACGTCTGTCTGCTGCTATTGTCTGCAAGGGAGACCAGAATCAACCTTCCCTGGGGATGAAGCATCCAAACTCCTTATAGAGGTGGTCGGCATTGGTACTCCCATATTGTAGAGGTGAAAACTGAGGCTGAGGGATTGAAATGACTTGCTCAATGCCATCCAGAATGCCAGTAACAAAGCCAAGAGAAGAAGCCACACAAGTTTTCCGAGTGCCATGTTAGTGCTTTCTCCACCATGCTGCCCTGCCTGACCCACAGATCCACTGCACGGATCAAGGCCTGGACCAGTTTTGGGAGAGAGAGGATAAAATGAAAGCAGTCCCCTTCTACAAGACAACCAACCCTTCTTCTGATATCTACGTCAGCACATTGTTCACTTTACATGTGCCCTTCCATCACTCAAGAACATGGTTGTGCTTTCCTAAGCCATGTTCTACATAAGAAAAATATCGCAGAGATCACACACACATACAAAACCACCCCAAAAGCCCTAACTGTACAGACTAAGCATTAAGTATAATATGAAAAAATCATTTAGGTTGCTACACAACTTGTCCATGACTTCTAGCAGTTGCTGTGTCTTTATCACAAGAATTTTTCCCCCATCCAGACATAAGATATTTCTAACAATCAGCATGCCGGATATCAATAGCTCAGACAGGCAGTGATGCTTCTCCCAGCACTCTTTGGAAAAATCTGGATAATAAAGCCATCAGCTATAATTATGGGAAGTCAGTGACATCCATGGTATTTTGCCTTTGTAAGGCAAAGGGAGTAATGAAGGATGCCTCTATTACAGATGAAGATATAAGGCTTAATAAAATAAGACAAGTAAACCAACCAAACCAGACAAAGTACTTCCACAAGAAAGGATCTGGGAAAGAAAGAAAAATAGCTGTGACCAACTCCAAGCCTTTTTTAAAACGTTCCTCTCCATTTCATTTTATGCCCATGCTGTGTATCAAATAAACCTGAGGCAGAAGAGTACTTGCAGGTAGGATGCCACTCACTTCATCAATATGACCACAAGGATCTTCTCCAAACAGATGTTTCTACTCCCCAGTGAGCATTTCTTGCAGATTTTCCTTGCTTCGTGTGTGAAAAGCAACAGAGGAAATACTGTATAAATCTACCAAAAGAGAGTATTTTGCAAATTTCAGGTATTCAGGGGCAATATCCAGGCTTTCCTATGGCATCCAGCCAAACACTTCCTGAGGAGAGGACTGCCTTCAGCACCAGCCCTCTTCTCAGAGAAGCAATGGAACTCAGTCAATAAGGCACCAGCCTGAGAGACAGGAGGAGGGGATTATGTTCCCTCCTCTGGCAATAACCCAGTATGTTAACTTGAGGAAAACAGCCACGTTAAAAGTGACAGCTAATTTCAAATTCCGTGGCAGAGATGTAACCACATTTGGCCGTGTTTTGACCAAGACGCAGCCTACAAAGAGCCCACTCTCCAGCCCTGCTCCCACTCCGAGGGTGAGCACCAGCTCCGGGCCGTGCATGCCATCAGCCCGGCTGGCATCCATGGCATCCCTCTCCTCATCCGCAGGAGACTCCACATGCCGTGACGGCACTGCAGACCCACTGCCCCGTGTCCTCCAAAAGCAGCTTCCCTCATAGGGCAACCGCTGCCGCTGAGAAATGGCTTGCTACGAGGAGGACATGCCCTGCCAGATGGATCCGGATCAACTCAACTTCCCTTTACTGCCAAAAAAGGACTTATTTCTTCATGTCTTTATTGCTTGCAGGTGGAGGTTTTCACAGACAGGGCCATTAGCCTCTAGAAAGATATCAGGGCTGGGAATTTAACAGGAGAGACTGCCAAAAAAACAGTATGGGAAAGAGGAAAAAAATACCCCCCCCCCAACCAAAACTAAACTGAAATCAACAGAAGCACATGGAGCTTCGGGTCATACACTGCAGTGCTTAGTACAACGTCCCAAAGGAAGGAGAAAGACCATTTGGAAGCTCTGAGTATATTAAACATTAGCTAAGAAGAAGTAAGACTTTTAAAAATAAAGGCAAGGGAATGGAAAGATGAAAGCTCTAAGGTTGAGGAGAAAAGACACAGAGGCAATTAGAATAATAAATAAGTGATGAGAGGGGAAAACATAAACACAAGAAAAGATATTTAAAAGGATTCAAGGTTAAAAAAATAAAACTAAAGGTAAATATTACAGGGCATTTTAAAGCTATGAGAGGAAAAAAAATTAAATAAAGCCTCAGTATAGAATGCAATCAGACCTGGTTAATTAAAGATGTTTACCTATATGTCTATTCTCAGCAGATTTGCTGGTAAGTGGTAACTGATCTAATAGTCCATATGCACCACATTTTTGTCAACCCATATCAATATGAAAGCACTCTTCTTCGGTGTGACACTGCGAGCTAGGACAACAAGTTTTTACTCCTTGATACAACCTAACGAGAAGATTCCACATGAACCAGCCTTAGATATGCGAAGCAAAAGCCATACGAAACCAAACCAAAAATCCCCAGACTAAGCCATACTTGGAGAACCACTGCTATGCAGATGTGGACCCATGGGTGGGCACCGGGCAGGACCCCCGGGCAGCCCGATCCCCTGCAGCAGGCTGGCAGCAGGGCATAGAGATGGCAGGTACCCGCAGCCAGGACAGCAGAAGTGCAAACAGAGGCTGCATGTCTGGACAAGATCTGGAGCCGTCAGGACAGAAGGGTTATTCAGTGAATACTTTCGGTAACTTTAACAACGCACCAGATTATCCACTATTTCTTTCTGACAAAAAGTGCAGTGGTACAAGCCAATTACATATCTGCCTTAGGCTCATCGTGCAGACAGGACTGATTTCCCCAAACTTCTTAAATGCTTTATTACGTCAGTTCTGTCCGATTCAAACTGTAATTATTTTTTACAAAGAGAGGCTTATCCGAGTTGCTGCTTTGTTTGAAAGTTGACATTAATTCATTGCAATGGAAAAAGTAGCACCATTGCACCCAAAAGCGTTAGGGAACCCTGAATTTCATGCACTATATTATAAATGGTTTAACAAATAAATAAGGTAGTATGTTTACTTTTATTTTAGTCAGTGGAGGTTTTTGCATGTTTTTAATAGCTGCATACTGCAAGGGAGAATGTGAGTTACCAGCCACAACACACACAGCAATTGAAGTCCTTGCTGAGGTCATTGGAAGACCCAGAGCACTGAACATCAGGTACACGTGCTGGTCCCTGGGGACTCAAAGGTCCTCATAGTTTTGCACATGGCTTGCGCTTCTTGGTGGGTTCCCAGAGCTGGACACAGCTGCTTTGCGACTAGAAGGGCTGGGCAAGCACTCCTTTATGCCAGCAGCACGTGCCATGCTGCATGTGATTGAGGTGGGGAGAAGAAACACAGTTGCTAGAGACCTTCAGTTTCCCTCCTTGAAGTAAATCTGATCTTGTTCCTTACTGTCGCAAAAAATGGGACTAAGGGATATTTTTTTTTTCCCCTTAAGCATATTTTCGGCATTCATTGCTGAAAAACTTCAAAATACCCTCAGTAATTAAATATTAAAGAAATAAAAAAAATTACCTTTTCCTGAGGGGTTAGTTCCATGATGCTGAGAGTGCCTAACTATGGTACGAGTCAGTCAAATCTATGACTAATGACGACACTCAAGAAAGACCAAGCTGCACTACCACAATGTGGAGAATCAGCATATATTTATGCCTTGTCAGCTTGTGAAGCTAGCAGCATACAGTCAGCGTTCCCCGTATTTGAAAATACGCCTTCTTCATCAGATGGTTTGTTTGGGAGTTTGTTCTGCTGTTGATGGGGCTGATATGTCTCTGGCTTTGCTCAGACCTTCACAGACCACTTTGGAAATCCCAATTCCAGCCAGTGACTCCACCGAGCAACACATGAGCCTGCTTCCCTGAGTGAGCTACCCCAGGCTTCAGCTGTCAGCTCAGTGTGCTTTTGAAAGAAGCTTATTCAGTGCCATTGCAGGCATCAGACAGCAAAATTGAAGTTTTTGCATTTCACACTTTATTTCTTGTCTGGGGGAGGAGGGATGAGAAGGAAGGTTTTACCAGCAAGCAGCTGCAAAGCAACAGCGGTTGCTGCTGTCTCCTGCATCTTATTTTTAATCAGTACAGCACCATGAAAAATCGTTCCCTAACTCCCACCCCATAAGCCCACTTTCTAGCCCTATGCAAGAGCAGGAGGTGAGCTGGAACGGTTGCAGAGATTTGAGTCCATCATCACATCAATATACATTTCAAAGGCTTTGTTATCAAAATACTACTTATTGAGCCGGATTCTTCTATCAGTCAAAATGTCACTGAATTCAATGTGGTTGCCTCTGTAAAAGAGGAATTCAGTCTATTGTCTTCACTAAAATGATGTTTACTTTGTTTACAGCAGAGTACTCCAAAAGAGAATGCCCAAAGGTAATTCTGAAGTCTGACATAAAATAGAAAGACAAACCAGCTTTGCACTTCAAAAGGAGACTTTGTTCTGTAGTGCAGAATCTGTCATAAATATTGCATCAGCAGCCACACTACTGGCACTTAAAATTAATAGATGGAAGTTATCAAAGCCAACACGTAAAAGTAGCAGGTACCAAAGCAAGAATCCTGTAGCACCCTGAGCAACTTGATTGTATGGCACCAACTTAGTCTGCTAGGGAAAGAGATCATGGAAAAATATATAAACCCTGCTCAAAACCTCAGGGTTTTTGTGTGTCTTTCAAACTCCTGATCTGCTTTTAATTACAAAATGGCAGTGGAAGGTACGAATATGTTGCCACGAAGACAGAAAAAGGGGGAATACAGAAAGCTATCTTTGCTACCAATACATTATTAAATTCTTTTCTTTGACATCCTGACAGTAATTGCACTGAATGGGATTGAATTTTGTTAAAATTACTTTAAAAGGGTTGTTGAGAATTTCCTGTGGGATGCAGTGGCAAGCACCGAGGCTTTCACTTCATTTTCTCTGTTGTCCTTACAGTCCCAAGGGGCTTATTGTTCATCCTGCTTTTTGACAGCATGAAGGCCTATGTAAACACCCTCTGAAAAGAGAAAGCTTCACCAGATACTGCCATTTGGGTTTGTTTTCCTCTGTCAGAGGGAAAGATAAATATTCCTACCTGATTCACAGCTGAGCTTGTCACAAGTATATTTTTAGCAACCAACCAGCTCTACTGATAGAAGGAATGAAACACAAATGATTACATGAAATTATACATAGCATAGCAGCTTTTTTTTTTTTTTTTTTTAAGTGAGCAGCCAAGGAGTTCTGAGCCCTGGACACCCCTCACTGAAGATGTAGCTCCTGCACTCAGGAACTTGGAGTCTTCATCCATCATAGTAGATGAAATATTTATAATTTAAAATACATCTATACAGTCAAAGATGAATTTCGTTTTTTTTTTCACCTCTCTAAATAAAATGAGGTTTCTTGAAGTATTTAAATTTTAGGCTGTTCACACATCAATGCCTCTTAACAGAAGCATTTCCACTGAGTTCTGGGTCCCAGCTCTTGTCCAAAGATCAGAGTGCTTTTCTGCCATGCCAAGTCTTGATTGTAAGTAATGAAGCTTACCAAGTAATATTCATCAAATAATGTAAGCAAATTTCATGCAACTTATTTCATCTGGCTTTTTTTCATCCTGAGTTATAGAACAGGGTAAGTCATCTATATTATTCCCTGAATAATGCAGACAAAACAAATGATTTTTTTGTAATAAAATAGTCAGTGAACACTTTTCAATGTCCTGCCCCATTCAATGTGAATGATGAAAGCATTTGGAGAGAGACAAACAGTAGACCGCTTTCTGGCCTAGGATGCCATGTTTTGTTTCACACACAGTGAATGCGAACACCCACAGATCACCATGTAGATGAAAGTGCTGTTATTTTTATCTGCTTTAAAAATAACAACAATAACAACAACAGAACATTGCCATTTCATCCAGGGTGAGAATGAATCAGACTTCTGCACTATTTTTTCCCCCTCTTCAGTTGCCGATTGAGTAGTCTGTTTCTAGAGTTGCCACGGTCAAAAGCCCAAGATGCTGAAGGACAACTCCTGGGGTAACTATTATTCTTTCTCCCTCTCTTGCTCCCAGGGAGCCAGAAGAATAAATCTGGATCACACCGTCAGTTTTTTTCCTGCATCTCTACACTGCTCTACGTACTTTTTTTGCAGAATAAGTCAAGACATTGAGTGGTTAAGCTAGAGAAAGTACTTGCAGATACACTGCCTGTGATTCTGTCAAATTTTATCAGTTTAAGCAGAACCGGACCTGCTCATTACCCAGACAGAAGACTCCCAAGAACAAGCTCTGTGCCACGCTGTGATTTGAGAAATAGAGTGGATAGAGTACACTGCCTTTGGGGTAAGGATTAATCCAACGCCACAGGGCTGGACAGACAGAGCTCAGCTGCCAGATGCAGCAGAGCATGTCAGTATTTCCAGGGCTGCTTCCTCTCTCTGCTCACAAAGGTCCATCACGCTTCAGTCTGTGACCTGCGCTTATGTTCACAGAGACAGCAGAGAGAAAGAACGGGTGAGGGCCAAAACTGCTGCGAGCGTGCAGCATCCAAACAGGAACTCAGGCTCCTCAGGCGCATGTCCTCTCTGGACTGCAAAGCCTTGCCTTCTTGCCACCACAGTAGCCTGTTGATTCTAGCTTGTACCTAGTGGACAAACTATTTTTGTACAAAATATGGGTTTGAATCCTCTCTGAAAAAGAAGGGAATCAAAGCCAAGCCTACCAACCCCCCATAAGCACTTCAGCCGCTATGCAGAGGGTAAATTTTTCAGGGAGAGGAACTGCTGCTGCTGATCTCAATACTGCTGTTAAAAGCTAAACATGTTCATCTGTTCCTGCCAGGTTTTCCTCTGCCCATCTCAGAAACCTTGACCTTTTTCCTTCCTCTCTGTACATACTGGGTATCAATTGATCCCTTAAAGCAATGAGTAGACTTCTTCTTTGTCCATGCTCCAAACTGTGGGGTTAATAATTTAAGGAGGTCAGCAGTTTAACTGCTGATAGAGAACCTGCAGAATAGACCTGGTGGCTGCTCAAATATTTGTTGGCGATACCAGAAATTTAGCTCAAGATGAGACCTCAGTACACCCGAGGTTGTATGTGCACATAGCACATATCCCTAATGGATCACAGGGAACACACAGAGAGACTCAAACAAAAAAAGCAGTCTTCAGAGCGCATGGAGTTCCACCAAGACAGATGCACCCAATGGCGTTACACAGTGGTAGGCAGCTCAGCGCACAGCTGGGCACAGCTGGAGGAGCTCGCTGTGGGCTGCCTTCAGGCAGTTTGCCAGCTGCCTGAACAGCAGCCCTGTGGACAGGTATGTACAACAGCTCTCCATCTTCTACAGAATGAGTGCAGCCAAGGAAATTAAGACCCAGATCCTCAAAACTATTCAGGTGTCTAGCTCCTACAACGTGCCTACATAATGGCATAGAGTTATGGGGCCTGCACAGCTTGCTCAGCATCATTTGGGAAGTATGTGGGAGTCCAGACTTAACACCAGTTGGCCCAAAACTAGAAAGCGGAGTCTACTTCTTAGACAATACCCTATAAATACACCTAAGAACAGAAGAGGAGACATACCAAAGGTCCACCCAGCCCACTGTCCTCCTGTCTCCATAGCAGCCAAAAGCACATAAGCGGAGAAAGGTACAGGGACAGGCAATCTTGTGTGATACCTCCACCTGCACTCTCCCAGCCTCTACCACTTGCTGCTCAGGGACTTCAGGCAGAGGTAGCTACTCCTTATTCAGACTCCCTCTGCAGACTCCTCTCTGATGTACTTGTCCCATTTCCCCTGGAGCCCAGGTAAACTTTCAACTCTGTAGCATACTCCTGCTTATAAACCGATTGAACAAAGGTCCCAAACAAAGAAAGGGACGTATTGCAACAGCTCTGGATCTCTCCTGAGAAGACACTGTGAGATGAACTGAACAGTTGCATATTCTGCATTGTACTTCACCGTCTTCAAACTTGTGAGGTCCTGTTGAGGCAATACAACAAACTGAAAGAGCAGAGAAGCAGAAAGGGACTTCTGTGGTCCCATTCAGGCTTCGTCCCAGCTGTGTCACTGCGAGGCTTTGGGCAAATCAGTTTGTCTCCCTATACCGCTGCACTTCCACCAGTAAAAAAAAACAGACACAACCACCTCCTCAAAGAAACAGTGAAATGATTCATCAGTTAATGTTGGTACAGAGATTTGAAAAGGCAAAATAGTGCTTGCCTACTTTTCCAAAGCACAGGCTTATCTTTAAGGACATGGAGTCAGCATGGTTCTCGTATGCAAGCCTGAAGCTACACACTTATTTAAGGCTTTCTGCAGATACTTTCTAATTTGTAAAATATGAGCACCTAAACAATACAATGAAGATTAGACAAAAAAGCTGTTAGGAATATGTTTTCGTAACAAAGTCTCCTTACTATACAAATAAATGCCAGAATACCACTTAGAAGCTCTGAGATAAAATTTATCAGAGAGGGTTTTTAAGATTACCTGTGAACTACTCCTGCCCGGTGAAGATGTTCAACTGCCAGGATAAGCTGCCGGATGTATTTGCGTGCTTCATGCTCCTCAAGTCTTTTTTTCTCATAGATCTTGTGCATCAAGTTGCCACCAGGGCACAGCTCCATGACAAGGTAGTAGCTGTTTTCAGTTTCCAGTATATCCAGCAGCTGAGCAATATTTGGGTGGCGGATCATTTGCTGGATCTGCCCTTCCCGTCGCAGATTCTTAGTGACATAGGTGTCCTTTTTGGCTCTTTTCTTGTCAATTACTTTCACTGCCACCTAATGAAAAAACAGAGGAGAGGGGGTTGTTAGTAGTCACACCAATGATTTATTGCTTTAACCTTGTATAAACAACCTCAAACAGAAAAAAAAAAATCAAAAGAATGTCAGTCTCAACTGATACACCATGGTTTCAGGCACAACTGCCCAGGTCAGAGGAACAGCTGTCTTTCTAACCCCACTGACAATTTCTTTCTTTATTCCCTTGTATGATGACAGACAAAAGTTATTGCAAGGAAATAGGTAACAAAGGAGAAGAGACAATCTCATTAACCATACCCAAAAACTTAGCACACTTCATGCTAGGCATTTATTTTATCTGTTTTCCCAGAAACTCTTCAGGCTCGTGTTCACAAGCTTTAGGTGTAATTTTTGGCTTGCCCTGGCTTGTATATATGACTTGAGATGATAAGCTTCCATTACAAGTTTCTTAAACTATAGCCAAGTGTTAGTTTTGCATGATTAAACAGAATAAAAACATACTATGAAAACCAAAATAATTTTGGTACCACTCTCTTGGCACATTTCTTTTTCATCTTTTAAAACGTACACGAAAGATGATCCTCTTGTGACTTCTAGAACCGAGCAACTCTGCAAAATCCAAGAAGGCAAAACTTTTTTTTTAATGCAAGTTCTCAGTGGCACACCTGCTTGCAGCTGTCCAAATCAACTGAAGCCCATCATGAAAGTACATAATAAAACTAAGGAGACTGTACGACAATCTATTACACAGCACATGCTAGCGGCTATCCAAGTGCTTTTCCTCTCATTGCTGGTGCAGAACACCACATGAGAACAAAAGGATGGGACCGACTAGGATATCGTTCTGTTCTACGCCTAAAGAATCTGGTTCCTTTTATTGTTTTAATGGATTCACTAAATAGCCACAGTAAAAGTATCTGCCTTTTTCTACCTCAAATTTATAGACACTTACTTATTTATTGAGATTTCTTATTTAGATTGGGTGCTGCAGACTTCCAGGTCACCTGCACCAGACAAAGACTTAACAGCTTGTGCCAGGCTGAGCAACAAAAGGCACTGCAAAATCCTCCTCCCGGGCTCCTCGTTTCCTCAGAGCTCTGCCACAAGAGAAGTCCTTCATGCACCTGGACCCCGCAGCTCGCGCATCATTACCCAAGTGACAGCTGCTTGTTTGTCAGGATGAGAGGGGGGGAAACACGGTGCTTGGTACTGCTGTGTGACACTGAATTTTACATGATGCGAAAGAGTCTTGTTTGCATGGGTACAGGTCCGACAAAACACACACAAAATGCTGCATCTGCCACCCGCCCCAGACAGAGGCACAAAGAAGCTGCATCCGCACCTTTGCTGTCTGCCTTGATTTGGCCTTGGAGGATCTCCTGCACTACCTTACTCCTACAATGAGAAGGAATAACAAATGTGGGGAAAACCTCAGAGTTTTATTTACCCTAGCCTTAACACCCAGACAACAGCATAAGCTCAAGAGGTTTCCGTCCATCTCCAGCTCGTACAACATCCCTCCTCGTGGCCGACAAACTAACTACTCACAGCAAACTCACTTTCAGCCAGGGCCAACTACATCGTGACAACCCACAGCACTGCGGGCTGATGGGCTTCGCCAACAGGGAGGCAAACTTATTCAAAACATATCTGGCCGCCTTCCTAGCTTGAGAAAGTGCCAAGCACACATCAAGCACATGACAGCTTCCAGTCTCACTAGCCACACCTTTATTTTTTCTGCAAGCAAAGGAAAAATTAAATTAGGGAACATTTTGGTTTTCCTTTAGAGAACAAAAGCCACAAAAAATATGGTCTGGAAATATGACAACAAAAATAGATCCATACCCTTTGACACGAATGCCTTGAATCAAAGTCAAGTTTTATCAGCAGAGGAATTGAAGAATAAAACTACAGGAGTTGGGGCTTCATAGTCTGTCCTAAGAGCCAGAAGTCAGTATTGCTGAGTATGTTATTAGCTGGATACATTTCTGCTGCTAAAAGATCATTCTGATGAAATACAGTTGATAAAGAGATAAGGCTGAACACCACACACGAGACAGCTGCCTGGGTGAAGCCCAGCAGCATCAGGGCCATAAACACCTGGAAGCTACATTCCTGACTAGTCACATTAAAGAAAGATCATTTAGTGGTAAGATAAAACAACAGGTAAATAAGAGCTTAACTTGACCATTTTTTAAAGCCTCAGGTGATTCACCAAGGAAACAGTCTTAAATTAGTACATTCCTCCATCTAACGAGATAGAACTGAGAACACAGAGGCTTGCATGGATTATGTAGACAGCAAACCACGGAAGTTATTCTGGTGAGGACAAACAAATTCATGGGTTACAGAAACATGAGATGCCAGATCGTTTGCTGGCAGCACAATACAATCTCTGGGGAAAAAAAAAAAAAAAAAAGTGCTGATATTTTCCACAGCTGCAGGATACAAAACATGGAGTATTACAGTACGGAGCAGTAATCTGTTACTCATATCAGTAAGTCATCCCCAATTCATTGGCCAAAAAAAAAGCACATTACTACACATGTGTGTATCTGCTGCCCAGGCTGAGCATGGCTGTGGAGACAGGGGCAACCACCTGAACCCAGGAGACAGAGCCAACTATGTGACTACTTGATGACTTTTTCACTACCACAAAGATTTAGCTTTCTGTGCCTTATGGACAAATTTTGTCCCTGATTTTGACAGATACTTGGTCAGGCACCCTACCTATCCCAGCAGACAAGCAAAGCTGCTTTCAGAGCCACCCTTGACTCCGAGCTACTGTTCCCCCTTTAAGGCCCCTTGCATCAGGTCTGAGAGATCCACGAGCAGAGCTGACAAAGGTGGAAACAACAGTTATATTTTGGCAACAGCTTTGCACGGGGGAAAGAGAAGAGTAAAACACCAGGCAAGGCTATGGCAGGCATCTCCAACACCAGGCAGGAAACTAGCTTTGGTGTGATACTGCTTGCTCCTGGGACAGATGTGCATGGGACCTCGTGTCCTCTCCTAGGTCCGTGCTGCAGCACAGGGCACCCCAGAAATACCTCAGACAGATGCCCCCTCGCCCTCCATCTCAGGGACTATTCGAAAGTCAGGGTCTTCAGAGAAACCTCTCCATATCTAAAGAAAATATTGTAGTTGACCCTAACACACAAGCAGCCTATCAACTTTCATATGGATGTTCTCCATAATAGCTTCTAGCTTTTGTTCCTCTCTGTTCCTCCTGGGTCTTCTTCCTTACTACTCCTTTCACATATTCTCCTGTCCTCCTAGTCAATGTCCTTTCCCTTGCACTGCAGTTCTTTTTGCTTTTGCTTTCTTGTAGGACCACTTTGCTTTCCTAAATGAAATGCATCCCATGGTACAAGGGTTGTACAAAAGGGTCAGCCGTCTCAGGCAAAGCTCCAGTGGGGTTTTTTCACTTGTTTGGGTTTCTTGGATTTTCCTCTGATTTACAATTTCCTCTGAAGCATATAGAGGAAACCTAGGGATCAAACTCTGCACTCAGTTACTCCAGGGTTGACTTAGCTAAATATCCCTGATCTTGAGTTCATCCAGCATTAGACCAAGGTAAGTGAAGACCGAATGTGCCCCAACACATTTAATATACACAGCCTCCCATACGGTGTAGATGAGTGTGCCTACACCTGAAAATTTCATTCATGCAGAACGAAAAAACATTCAGTAGAGAAAATACTGTAGATGTTAGATAACCATAAAATAAACACATTCGAGCTTTCATAGCCTACTCAAGACATGGCAATTATTCAGTTTTGCTCTCCCAAGTTTCAAGTAGGGACTCTTTGTCTCTGCATCATGCCTATCTCCTGACTTGAATTCTTGGCCAATACTGGCACAGAAGTAAAAAAATAAACGATAAAGCAAGTAATTACTCCGAATATGTAGCAACAGTGGCTCTTGACATTCAACACTTTGCTTTTGGCTAAACCTTTGCTATGTAAATAAATAAATGGTTTAGGTTATTCTGTATTATGAGATACAAAGATGAGTAATAGGCCATATTTTTGGTTCCCGAGTCCCAGAATTACACTGTTGGAATGAATTACTTTCCTGAAGTTTATGGTGTGACACATCATATGAGCAATTGCTGCTTCTCTCGATCGTTGCACTAAAATAGTTCAGGTTGGGCTAAAGCGTACTGAAGGGGAGGTGAGAGGAAAGTGCAAGCACCACTCTTCTCCACAGATCCTTGGAGAAGACAGTGACATGGCTTACAGAACCAAGCAGCTAAAGCACCATCAGCAAATACAGGCACGTGTCACCACCCAAACAAAGGCACACATTTGACACACACGGGTGGAGGATTTTTGCCAGCTAGTGTTTTAGGAGGGTTTGTGAATCTGCAAGAGGGAGGCGGGGGGGTGGAGCTGACTGGCACCAAACTGCACAAAAACAGTCACAGCAAGGCGCTGAGAAAAAGCAAGAGACAGTTTAAAGGACTAAATCTTGCCTGGAGAAATCTGGGAGACAGGGCTTCAGTTGCTATATTGCTGCTGCATCCAGAGAAAACACATTTTGCCTCCTCTTTGTAAACAGTCATGGCTTGACATATGAAATTGCAACGAAGCATGGAAGGTGGCTCACACACATCCTAAGCATGCCCCAGCGTAGCATCCATAAGTCCACGCAAGAGGCACATTTCGTGTCGGGCAGCTCCCCAGATCTGTGCCGCGACAGCACACTGAGCCCATGGAACCGGTGAAGGGTCTGCTGTGCCAGGCAGGAGGAACCTCCAGGGGCTCAGTGTGCATTAGTCAAAGTCATCTTTTCACCCTCCCCTTCTGCTGGCTATTTATAACCCTGCCAGTGACACTTGGAAAAATCATGGGTCAAGAAGTAGTGCCTTTGTTAGGGAGGGAAAGATGTTTGCTTACCCAGTGGACATGCAAAGGTCTATTTAGATCATTGCCTGACTGCTCTGCAGCAGTGTCGTTTTGCCAGACTGCAGCTCAGTCTTACTGAGAGATTTTTTTTCTTTGGACCAACCCTCC